TCTATTGATAGCCCAAACTTCAATATTACGATTGAATACCATTCCTTTTGTACCTAAATCAAGGTCATCAAAACCTTCAGAATATGAATTACGCATAATAAATTTTGTATTTTTAAGAGATGCTGGTCCCCATATTTTTTCGGCTAAATCAGGTCTACTAATAACAATCATGCGTGTACTCCCCATATAAAATTCGTAGAAATCTCCATATTTTTCATGCAATTTTTTTAATGCGGCTGTGAAATCTGCTCCAATTTGGTGAATATTTCCAATAATTGGTAAAGGGAGTGGACCAGGAATTTTTGATGGCCGATTAAAATAATTAATGTAATATTGGATTACATTAGTAAAAATAATCAAAAGCAAGATCATAAAAAAATTGCTTTTAATGATATCAATTAAATGACACAATGTATTTACGAACATTTTGAACAGAAAATTTGATTCAAAAAAAAATTGAAAGATAAAGTGGAAAAATATGTAGCTACATTGAGTGGGAAAATATTTAGAACTATTAAGTGAGAAAATATATAGAACTACATTAAGTGAGCCAATTAGAGTTTTACATATACTCGCAATACTAGGAACGTAGTACAAAGTACGAAATGCATGGTTTACTTTGTCTGTGTACAAAATCTAAAAAAAAGGTTACGCAAAATATAACTTTATTAGTATTATATGGGAGTCGTTAAAAGAAAACTAGAACATCTAAAAATAGATTTTTATATTTTATATAATAATTCTATTTTTAGATGTGCTGGTTTTCTTTTTAGCGACACTCGTATCAATACAGGAATGTCGATGTCGATTCGATCGAATGATCGATCCTTAATATTCCATATTTGTACACCGTACGATCAATAGCTGATCGGTCATGATCATTACTGAATTTTGACCAATGTAGTTCTTGAGTCGGGAAAGTAATACACGTCACGTGATGTGCAGATTATCTTCAGGCGTACTTAGTGATGCAAACGGCTTGAGCTAAGACAAGAGCCAAACGGCTAAGCCAGGCCAATTAACGGCTCAACTCTGGATATACTAATAAAGCATTGGCTCTAAAATGACTCAGCTCTAGACCCTTAAAGCCCGAGAGCCGATTAATTAATATCATATCATCCAATAGTAAACGATTACAGCTGTTCTCAAATTTCGGGACATTTGGCAAAAAATTGACCGAATGATTATCAGGCCGATTCGATAAGTTATTAATTTCGGCAATAAGCGATTACGTAATAATGTGTTCTTTGCTAAACATAAATGATGCTTTGTGATTTCGATAATGA